ATGGTGATGACGGTGGTGGTGGTGATGATGGTGGTGATGATGGTGATGATGGTGATGATGGTGGTGATGGTGATGGTGGTGATGATGGTGGTGATGATGGTGGTGGTGATGGTGATGATGGTGGTGGTGATGATGGTGGTGATGGTGGTGGTGATGGTGGTGATGGTGATGATGGTGGTGGTGGTGGTGATGGTGGTGATGATGGTGATGATGATGGTGATGATGGTGATGATGATGGTGATGATGGTGATGATGGTGGTGATGGTGGTGATGATGATGGTGATGATGGTGATGATGATGGTGATGATGGTGATGATGATGGTGATGATGGTGATGATGATGGTGGTGATGGTGGTGATGATGATGGTGATGATGGTGATGATGATGATGGTGGTGATGGTGGTGGTGGTGGTGATGATGATGGTGGTGGTGGTGATGATGATGGTGATGATGGTGGTGGTGGTGATGATGATGGTGATGGTGGTGATGGTGATGGTGGTGATGATGGTGGTGGTGATGATGGTGATGGTGATGATGGTGGTGGTGGTGATGGTGATGATGGTGATGGTGGTGATGATGGTGATGGTGGTGATGATGGTGATGATGGTGATGGTGGTGATGGTGATGGTGGTGATGATGGTGGTGGTGATGATGGTGATGGTGATGATGGTGATGATGGTGATGGTGGTGGTGGTGATGGTGATGATGGTGATGGTGGTGATGATGGTGATGGTGGTGATGATGGTGATGATGGTGATGGTGGTGATGGTGATGGTGGTGATGATGGTGGTGGTGATGATGGTGATGGTGATGATGGTGATGATGGTGATGGTGATGATGATGATGGTGGTGGTGGTGATGGTGGTGATGGTGATGATGGTGATGATGGTGATGGTGGTGATGATGGTGATGATGGTGATGGTGGTGATGATGGTGATGATGGTGGTGGTGGTGCCCGTATCTCAATTGGCAACATTCGGTCGCGAGGATTGCTCTTCAAGCTCACCGGTGAATGAGGCCGAAGCGATCGATAATTATTGATCGCTTCAACCATAAACACGTGAATAGACCTAGGTTTCCAATTTATCAGTAAAACTCTACTATCTATACAATATACATTGACGTAAAATGTAAAAACTTAAATATTTGAATTCAGCGCGTCAAAATCCATAACAAGCGTGACATTTCATCTCTGAAGCAGACGACGTCTGAAACATCGTGGGCCCGTTGTTATCAGAGCATGTTTTTAGTTTGCATGTTCACCACGAGGACCGTGTGTGGTTTGGGGCCGTCCATAAATGACGTCACGCACCTAGGGCAGGGTGGGGGGGGGTTAGACATTTGTGACGATGTGTGACGAGGGGGGGGGGGGTTTGGGAAATGTGCCGTCACATCAAAATGCGCAACTTTTAATAAATATAGACGACACGTTCTACTTAATTAAATAGACTTTTTAACAAATGTTTCTCCTACAACATCAGAGTGCAGCGCCACATTAAATACGCACTACAATGACAATAGTCTAAAGCGATTTGAAGCATGTTTTATTTTCAAAATGAAAATATGGTTTTGGGGGGTGAGGCAGAGCTTTGTGACGTCATATTTGAGGGGGGGTCTGACTTTTTGTGACGTCGTGTGACGAAGGGGAGGGGAGTGGGTCAAAAAAATCGTCCAAAATCGTGTGACGTCATTTATGGACAGCCCCTTAATGCAGCCAAGATTCCTTGAAAAAGGACTCTGGTGTTTTAACATCTCAACAGAAGGTGTCAACCCTATCGCTGTGCTCACAATCGAGGCATCGTCGATGGCTCGCAAGGCACGCGACAATTCAACTCGTTCTGGTTGTGCCGGGTGGTGGAGGGCTTTGACGGCGCGAGGTCGTTGCAGGGTCCGCGTGCGACTTTCTCTCTGCTAGGGAACAGGAGGAGCTGCGTGTCTCCCTGCTGGAGACGGACACGGAGCGATGGGCGCAGGGAGAAGACCTCGCCGCGTGCGGGCTGCGTCTCCTTGCCGGCTGCGACGTCTCCTACCTCGCAGCTCACCCAGACGTCGCCTGCGCCACCCTGGTGGTGCTCAGCTTCCCAGAGCTCGAGGTGAGGGTGTTGAGCGGTGGGTGAGTTGAGTGTTTGGGTGAGTGGGTGGGTGAGTGGGTGAGTGGATGGGTGAGTGGGTGGGTGGGTGAGTGGGTGGGTGGGTGAGTGAGTGGATGGGTGAGTGAGTGGATGGGTGTGTAAGTTGGTGAGTGGATGGGTTAGTGGGCAGGTGGACGGGTGAGTGGGTGAGTGAGTGGGTGAGTGGATGGGTGTGTAAGTGGGTGAGTGAGTGGATGGGAGAGTGGGTGAGTGGATGGGTGAGTGAGTGGATGGGTGAGTGGGCGGGTGGACGGGTGAGTGGGTGAGTGGATGGTTGTGTAAGTGGGTGAGTAAGTGGATGGGCAAGTGAACAGGTGAATGGATGCATGAATGGGTGGGTAGATAAGCATGGGTTCGCTCAATCGGAA